ACTGAGTGAGAATAAAAAAAATTATATGGAGAAATTATAGAATAATATTATGGTGGTCTTAAACATGCTTAAGAAGTTGATTAACGTCCTTAATCGTGTGATTGGCTGCTGTCCCTTTCATGTCAAGTGCTTAACACTGTTTAAGTACATGTTCAGAAATAATTAGTAGTTTAAATCAAAGATAATCCATCAATGGAGCGTGTGGACGTTTACATATGGGTACATATTATGTGACATTGATCTTGACTTCTTGTCTTCTTATAAGTGCCTTTGTCATTACAATAATATTTAAAAAAAATAAAAAACGAAAACCCATAAAACCAAATGAAACAGGAGAAAGAGTTAAAAGTGAAAATAATAAAACTTTAACAATTTCCATATATTTAGTCGCTTTTAAATATAATAGCAGATAATTTTTGTATATAAATATATATCTTATATACAAAAGAAATATACATAGTTTACACATGTTTTGGCTAAAAATATAAATAGTTTTCACTGAGCGGCCAATTTTGTATTTTTCCCTTATCAAATCCTTTTACAAACTTTACGTTATATTTTAGTCAATTACTCATATATTCAAGTTTCCTTTTTTATTATAGTAATTGTTTTCGATCAGCTTTTAGTTGGTTTTGGTGGAAAAATAGCCATGGTACCATCAAGATTAATATATTTCAGCTCTTTAAATTTTAAATCTTTTAGAATAGTCAAAAATCAGATCTTCTTAATTACTGGTTACACCTTTTTCTCCAAGGTAGTTGTAACAGTTAAGTATTGTTGGAAATTAATGGGTTTGACTTAATTATTTTGCACGGGTCGTTGTACTAATTACATCAAAGTCGCCTGGTGGTTAAAACTTTAATAACAGCATATCAGTTTAAGTTTTGTACATTGAAAGTGTTTAGCTATAAGCAATCAGGTTAATTAAGTTACCTGTAACAATAAGTACTCTTTCTCTCCAAATTAAGAGCCCGTGGCGGAGGTAGGGCTTTTGCTAAGAGGGTTCAAAAAAGAAATAAGTTAAAAAATTTAATGAGATTGTAGTTAGTGGTAATTGAACCAATGACCTTATAATGATTTTGACTCCCCTTGACCACTAAGTCATGCTTTTGGGATGTGTGAAGAGGATTCAAAACATAATATATAGAGGTAAAAATCAAATTTTGTCTTACATATACAGTGTAATTTTTCGGCAAAGGGGGTTCGGGTGAACACCCTTGCGCTCCCCTACATCCGCCATTGGAAGTGCTGAAACTGATAATAAACAATTTATATGTTTGGTAGAAAAGTGATGATAAGTTGTTCTCTTGTTAAAAAGACTAAAATATACTTAAATTTTTTACAAAAGATTATGAATTAAAAAGACTAAAATATACTTAAATTTTTTACAAAAGATTATGAATTAAAAAGACTAAAATATACTTAAATTTTTTACAAAAGATTATGAATTAAAAAGTTCTTTGTAGAGAAAACGATAAAAAACGAATATGAAATGAAGACAAAATTAAAAAATTTATTTTCGGAAAAATAATATTTTATAAATTAAAAATATTATTAAGGATAAACTAGTAAAAGTCTTGGTCAAACTAAAAGTGTTTATAAGCTGAAAAGTTATAAGTTGGGGGTGACCAACTTATGGCTTATGACTGATTTTAACTTATAAGCACTTGGCTTATAAGCACTTTGGATATTTACCAAACGCGTAAAAAAGTCAAAACGTGCTTATAAGCCAGTTTGACCAGCTTATAAGCTGCCAAAATAATTATCACTTTAGTATTTCAAGATAAATTTTTTTAATAATTTTTAATTATTATACCCTTAATATTGAAGGAAGTAGTCCTTTTAATGCGGCTCAATTCTAAAAAAGCATTTATTATATAGGAGTTAGTTAAAATCGGGCTAAAGGAGTAATTTCTTATAACAAACTTAACGCAAAAATAAATATATAACTTAGGGGTGCACAAGTGAATACAAAAGTATATCTGGAGGACTAACTTAAAAACTCATTATTTATGCGACAGTATTGCTTTCTTTTTTTATTTAATTTTAAAAGCAAAATTCCACCAACTTGTCTAAATTTTGGTTATAACAATGTTACCACTTTCTCCATGTAATCACCTTTAACTAAACACTATAATTACTTTAACTAACTTAGTAAACAACCTGAATAAAGTAACTGACTGCTTCATGCTTACTGCCAATTAAGTTTTCTTTAGGAGTTAAATACATGGATTTAGCTTAGAATTTTCTTAAATTTTTTACGCTTTCCGACATTCCTGAATAAATATATAGAATAAATTAGAACCATTATCCTTTTTTATTTTCTTATATTATTGAATAAAGAACTTTGTAACCCCAAATCTTCTACTAATATTTTACTTTTATGAATACCTTTATGATCCACCAGCTTTGAAAATGTTCACTTTTCAATTTCTCAACCGGTGTTTGATATTTTTATTCTAGGGTCACGACTAATTCGGTTTCACGTCGAAGCTCATGAAGGGGGAATATTTTCTATTTGGTTTATTATTATTCCCAGAGCTCGAACCTCCAAACAAATTTAATTAAAAATAAAGGGATCATATATATGTTGGGATATATACTATTAATCATAGGTTTAGTTTAGATATAGTATTTATTATGGAATAATTATTTATTCAATTTTAATAAAGTTTTAAATAGATCATATATTAGTCTGTGTCCTTTACTTATATAGTAGATGATTTAGTGTATAGAGTTTAGCTTATACACGGAAGATTAAATCATCGATTCTTTTTTTTTTGGTAATTAAATGATTTTATTTACCAAGTGTAAATATTTACAGCATAGCAAAAATTGAATTCCTACTTTCTATACTCCCACTGGACATGCAGCCCCAGTTAGGATTTTACTACCTTTCCTACTCTTCTCCTTCCCTGTGATTTGTATTGTTACATTTCATCAGGGTACCAATTCAAATTGCTCATCGTCCTTACTAGCCTAGGAAACATGGTAGCTCTAACATGAATTTCCTGGATGATTGATCTAACTATGGCATTAGCTGGTTTATTCTTCTGCTGGAATATAGCGTTATTCCTCTCTTGCCAAATATGATAAACTGCTGCTGCTAAGGACATTCTGCATAATTCTGCTCCTCCACTTCTACCTTTAGCTCTTCTTTCCATCCATGCCAGTTCTTCCTCTCATCCTAACTTTGTTCTTTGAATTCCTTGCCATGTTAAGAGTTGTTGCCATATGGTTATTGTCACCTCACATTCAAAAAATAGATGCTGCACAGTTTCAGATTCTCTTTGACATAGTGAGCATGTGGTATCAATCTGTATCCCCTATCTTGCTAGCCTTTCTTTTGTTGTTAGCCTTTCCTGTATTGCTAATCTTAACATGAACTTCCATTTTGGTAATCCATAATTGTTGCATATTAATCTCCTCCATGGTACTTTCTGAAATTCCCCTTGTATAACTTTGTACGTGTGCTTTATAGAGAAATTTTCCATCTTCTTCACTTCCTCTTCTGTATATCCAGCAATGTCAAAATACTTCCTTGCCTTGAAGATCTGTTGTATGACCCATGATGCATTCTTTGGTGTTGTGTCCCATACTGGTTTCCCCTTTATGTAATATATATTGACTCATTGAATCCAGAGCTTGTCTTTCTTTTTGCATATATTACATAGTAGTTTACATATAGTTGCTTTATTCCATAGCTCCACATTGATGAAGTTTAAACCCTCTGCTACCTTTGAACAGCATAATTTTTCTCATGCAATTAGTGCCTTCTTTGTAGGTTCTGCATTACCTGACCATAAGAATCTTCTGCATATAGTGTTAATGAACTGTATGATCTTCTTAGGGAGGATGAAAATCTGAGCCCAAAAGTTTTGGATTGCAACCAATACACTCTTGATTAACACTTCTCTTCCAGCATAGGATAGAAATTTTGTTGTCCAGCATTGTATTCTACTCAGCATTCTATCAATTAGAGGCTCACATTGGATTATTGATAGCTTTTTGGTGCTCAGTGGTACCCCTAAATACCTGAAGGGTAGTTCTCCCTTAGTATATCCCAACATGTCCATGATTTTCCTTTGAGTCAAGATATCCACACCACCAAAGTATATGCAGCTCTTATTTGGATTTTCTATTAGCCCTGATGCTCCAGAGAAGATTTTGAATTGTTGGTGTAATGTCTGTATTGATTTTATGTCTCCCCTGCAAAAAAGTAACAAATCGTCAGCAAAACCTAAGTGCACTAAATTGACTTTAGCATACTTAGGGTGGTATTTGAATTCTTTTCCCTGCTTTAAGGATTTCAGCAGCCTACTCAGATACTCCATTGCCATCACAAACAAGACTGGTGACAAAGGGTCACCTTGCCTAAGTCCCTTCTTTGCCTCAAAAGGTTTTGTTGGTTGTCCATTGATTACTACAGTATAGGCTACTATAGTTATACACTGCATTATCCATCTGACAAACTTCTCAGGGAACCCCAGTAGCTTCATCACTTGTTCAATATACACCCATTCCTGCGAATCATATGCTTTTTGCATGCCAATTTTAAGCATGCATCTAGGTGATATGCTCTTTTTTCCATATCCTTTAATCAGTTCATGGCCCATGATAATATTATCAGTAATCATCCTTCTTGGTACAAAAGTTGTTTGGCTGTTATCTATGATGTCTGGCATGATTTCCTGTAGCCTTGCAGTTAAAATCTTTGATACCATCTTGTATAGGACGGTGCAGAAAGATATAGGCCTGAATTCCTTGATGTTAGCTGGATTCTTTACCTTAGGGATCAGAGTGATGATTGTACAGTTTATAGCTTTACACATTTCAGTAGTTTCAAAGAACTCCAGCACTGCTTCAGTAACTTCCTTTCCAATTATGTTCCATGTATTCTTGAAAAAATGGGAGTTATATCTATCACATCTTGGTGTCTTGCTATCATCAATGCCCTATAATGCTTTTTGCACTTCCTCTTTAGTAATTGGTTTGATTAGCTACATTTGTTGCTGCCTGTTCAAAGTGTGTCCATTCTGCATAACATCTGGATCAACTATTGGTAGTGTTGAGGCTGTTGTACCAAGTAATCTTTTGTAAAAGATTAGAATCTCCTCTTCTACCTCCTTAGCACTTTGTAGAAGTTTTCCTGTGTTGTCCATCAGTCTGCCTATGTGGTTTCTTGCCTGCCTATTTTTTACATAAACATGGAAATAAGCTGTGTTAGAGTCCCCTACTTTAAGCCATTTGATTCTTGCCTTCTGCTTCATAATACTTTCCTCCACTTCCAGCCATTTTACCAGTTCAACTTTTGTCTCCTTCTCTAATGCTATCACTTCATCATCAGTTTTCGGAGATGCCATTCCCATTTGGATGTTCATCAACTTGTTCCTTGCTGCTTGGATCTTTGGCTCCACACTGTTGTACTCCTCATTGTTTAATTGCTTCAGATCGTTTTTCAGGTGTTTTAGTTTGTACCACACCTTCAGCATTGGCTTTCCCTTACTTCTCTTCATCCAACATTGCCTGACAATATCATCAAATTTATGGTGGTCTGCTAAGCAATTAAAGAATTTGAATGGTCTTTTTCCCCTCCCAGTAGGTTTGGCAACAGTAACCATTAGAGGGCAGTGATCCGAAAAGTCTGGCTGCATAATAGTTCCCTCCATATTAGGCCATTTTTGTATCCACTCTGCATTGGCAAGTATTCTATCTATTCTGCTATGAACATGGTTGTTTGTCCAGGTGTAATTTCTCCTAATTGTTTTGAGTTCAGCTAGTCCAACATCAGCTATGAATTTTTTGAAATCTGTCACTTCCCCTTCTTGAACTGGATTCCCCATGACTATCTTCTATAGACAAAATGCTATTAAAGTCTCTCATTATTAAGCTTAGGTCTTGTATTCTCCTCATAGTTCCTTCCAGATCAGTCCACAAACTCTTCATGTCTTGTATGTTAGGTTTCCCATATACTGCAACAAATATGAACTTGTTGTTGTACTGCCTCAGAACCACCTGTCCTGCTATGTATTTTTCATGGACTTGTTTTACCTCAAACTCCACCTTTGTTTGGTCCCAAATAATCCAAATCCTGCCACCAGGTGCCTCATCATAATTAGCAGTCCATTGCCAATTGCCAAACACCTTCCTCATTTTTGCTTCAGCTTTATTAGCCTTAACTCTATTCTCCGGTACAGTTATTAATACTACATTATTCTCCCTATAGAAATTTTTTAGTGTTTTTTGCTTATAAACTTTATTCATAACCCTAACATTCCATGTTATAATATTCATCATGCTAAAGTATTTATGATGGGGTCTATATCACCTTCATTTCTTCTTCTTTGCCCTCTTGTCCCATGTATTTCAGATAGTTGCACAATTTTTTGAGTTGTGTCAACTAAAGCTTTAAAAGCATTTCCAATGTATACTTCCTCCTCTTTGTTGATTTCCATTTGCTTTTTTGATGCTGATTTTCCTCTAGCAACCTGCCATTCCTCATCTTTTCCTTGTTTCCTAGGCATAGCTTCTCCTTCTGGTTCAATTTGTTCCAGAAATCTTCCATGAGCATCAATTTTGTCCACCTTAGGATCAAGGACCCTTGTTTTCCTCCATTCTTGCTTTAGCTTTTGATTATTGCCTCTCTGTTGTCCATCCTCTTTGTTCTGCCTCTGTTGATCATTATATGAGTGTCCAATTTGACAGCATAATTGGCAATATTGGGGCTTCCAGTCATATTGTACTATCTGCTCAATCACCATTCCTTTAGGATCATGAAGTTTTATTAATCCTGGTAAGGGTCTAGTAATATCCATTTCTATTAACATCATTGCATACGAGACTCTATCTGCCATGGTAGTACATGCATCAGCATATAGAGGCTTTCCTAAGCCACTCCCTATTTTACTTAGTGCTTGATTACTCCAGTAGCTAAGTGGAAGTTTAGGGAATTTTACCCATAGGGATGGTCTTGAGTATCTCCTCACTAAAAATCAAATCCCTCCTTCCATTGTCGCATGATAATTGGTCTACTATTCATAGTATACGGTCCATTCAATATTACTTCATCTCTTTCTTCACAGTTGTTCATCAAAACTATGAAATATCCATCATTGTGGAACAGTACCTTTGGTTTCCTGACTTTACTCCACTGGTTTGCTATGAATCGCTCAATCGCCCCAATTGTTGGAGTGTTTCCTACCACATAGAGGATTAGGGCTCGGTTCCACTTCTGTTGTTACTCATCAATGTCTTCTTCCAGCAATTGAATAACTACTTCGCCATCATGTATCACCGGTGGTATATATGATAGGTTCATACCTTTGGCGGCAAGTTTGTTCTCACTGAATAGCCCAGCCCACGACCTTACCCCATTTCCAATTTTTGTTGCTTTCATCTCTTGCATGCTCTTCTCACTTCCATTTAAATCTCTGGTCTGCTCTTTTGGTGAATCAATTTTTACTGTTCCATTACTTGGTGGCCTACTCGTACTCGCATCCCCAGCTAAGCTCATTGTTGCATGTGTTCCTTTAGCTCCAGTATTCAACCCCGGCATCGCAATGGTATTTGGCTTTATCGGCGTTGTCAAGCTTGCTCTTATGTTGCTCAGATCTGGCCAATTTAGCTCATCATCACTTTCCAGATCCAGATCTTCGTCCTCCTGAATTTTCTCTTTTGCTTTTGATGATTCTTTTCCTTTCTCCCTTGTGCTAAGATCGGTTAATTTCCTTTCTACCAGTAGAGTTTTGCTAGCGTTCTTCCTGGGTCGTCCTCTTCCTCCCATTTCCGGCGAGGCGCAGGTTAGTTAGCACCTAATGATGGAATTGGACAAATCATCATGGATGATTGTAGCACAAGATTAAATATAATTTATCTTGATTATGGGAATGGTTTAATTCCAACTTCTTGTGCTAGTACATTTTGTATGTATTGAACGGACCAGGTAGAGATAAGTATTTTATACTGACTTAATAAAATAAACCCTCTAGCCATTAAATGTACTTATACTCTTAATCTTGATATAATTATTATTAGCTGTGTATATTATTATTATTTTGATTTATTAAAAGGCGAGATTCTTTCGTAGATCAATATGCCTGGTAAATTGGATAATAATAATAATGTACATTGGCAAAGTAATAGTTAGTTGGTGGAATCCATGTCTCGGTTTAGAGATTGATGATACACCTTTATGAAAGCTTATAAGTTTTCATGTGTAAACCCGACCGGTGGATTTTGTATCCGACACATGAAATAAGTTAAGCGAAAGTCTAAAGGAAATAATCAATAAATTAAATCGTCAGTAATTTAATTTAATTGATTAGTATCTGATTCTTAACATGGGGAGTTAAATAAGATTTAATGGATGAATTTTAAAATTGAATAAGGAGTGCAATTACGAATTTTTAGTGGAATAATTCGTAATTAATTATGGTAGATATTAATTTTGAAAATTCTAAATTAATTCCATAATTGGAAGCCTTGTTAATTAAATTATGTGGTCTCTCTTGTGCCTAACTAATAGGAAATACAGGAATCCTTTTTTCTGGTAGAAAAGAAAACCTAACAGGTTTTGGAAAAGGGTTTTAACCCTTAAAACTTGTGCTATAAATAAATAAGGTTTTCCTCCTAGAAAAAAAAGAGAAGAGGTGGCCGAAATTTCAGTCATTTTCCTAGAAATTTCGCCCATAAGAAATTGCTATTTTCGGATATTATTTGGGTAACACAGTAGAAGACCGTGGAATATTTGAAGATCACAATTGTGCGGGTGATGGAGATTTTATTGAGAAGTCATGGAACTGAAGTCTCACGTGATAGAAGAGATATGTTCACGCTCCAAGAGGTAACCCGTGAAATCCCTTTATGCTAGTTGTCTAGATTACATGTGACTTTGATACTGGGATTGCTTCCGCTGCTTATTATAATCCATCAATTGGTATCAGAGCTCACTCACATCTAATGAAATAACTAAGTTTTTCATGAAACAAGAATATCGTATTTATGTGCATTTTTGAATTACATGTATATGTGATTTTCTGAAAAATTGCACTGCTATTTTGTGAATTAACTGTGCAAAAAAATTGGATTATTTTTGTAATCATGAGATATCTAATTTTTATTGTTATTTGATTGGGATAATCTGGAATTTTTTTTGGTAAACCCTAGAAAAATGCAAAACGTGGTGAGAAAAACTCACTGCTTTAGCAGTGAATCATGGTGTTTTTCGGCGTTTTGAGATCGTTTGAACTGTATTTTGGACGTTTTTCTATTTTCAGGAAATTATTTCTTAATAATTTTAATTAGGTTTTAATTCAATAGTGGTGGGGGTGACTCCCCATTGTCTTTATGATTAAATACTGGTGATATAATAGTTTTACACATTGGCTATTAGTAAATAGACGTGTTGTTGTATTAAATTCAATAATAGAGGTGTAGAATTTTATTGACTAGGTCTTACAAGGTATAATTGATATTGTGTTATGATATAATTATTTTGTAAGAAAGTAAAATCCTCTGTTTGATATCTTGAATGACTAATGATTGGAGCGTTTGGCATATTTGTGCATAAAAAATTTCTCAAATTTTAGTTTATATTCCATGCCCTACATGATTGCTAGTCTTGGATTTTCGATGAAAAATTTTGTTCTTTGGTTGGAGGTTGTAATTGAGTGAAACATGACGGTATTTTGTATGAGTTTTATATTATTGGCATGGCCTTTAAGTTGTGGTCCATAATCTGCCATAAAATATTTTTATGAGTGACACGACCAGGATTTTCCACCCTCAGGGGGTCGTGATGGCGCCTACTCGTGAAAGCTAGGCAAACCGAGTATTATAGATTTACTAACTCTTCTATTTAGCCCTTTTTAACAGTTTAAAACAACATACGATCAACAACGAAATATTAACAATAATTAAAGACATGCGGAATACGTAATCTGATAACTTAGCCAAAAACAAGTACAACAATACCAAGTACATCTCTACCCGGAACTGGTGTTACAATATCACAGATCATCTACGAATACTACAAACAATTGTCTGGAAAGAAAGATACAATCTGTCTCTGAAGTAAATGAAAATAGAATATAAAGATGGAAGAGAACGTCGGGGCCTACGGACACCTGCAGGACTACCTCGGAATCTCCGACAAGACTGAAGGTAGCCACCCAAAGCTATGGTCCAAAAGTTGCCGCTCCGGGATCTGCACACAGTGCAGAGTGTAGTATCAGCACAACCGAGCTCATGTGCTGGTAAGTGTCTGGCCTAACTCCGGTGAAGTAGTGACAAGGCTAGGACCAGACTACCAAATAAACCTATGCAGTTATATCATATACAATGAAAATAAAACAAAAATATACAAATAAGGATGGGAGGGGGGAATGATGCGGGAGAATATCATCTACTAACAGTAACTCAAGAGAAAAGCATAAAGAACAATCTAAAATTTTGCGGCAGAAAGAATAAGGAAAAACCGTAACAAATCAATAATCACTTTTATCATTTATTGTTGTGGCGCGCAACCTGATCCAAATTATAAAAATACTGTTGCAGCGTGTAACCCGATCCATAACATCTACCACTGTTGCGGCGTGCAATCCGATCCAATTATAATGTTGTTGCGGCGTGCAACCCATTCCAAAAATAATATTGTTGCGGTATGCAACCCGATCCAAATATAATATTATTGCGGCGTGCAATCTGATCCAATTATAATACTGTTGCGGCGTGCAACCCGATCCAAATATAATATTATTGCGGCGTGCAATCTGATCCAATTATAATACTGTTGCGGCGTGCAACCCGATCCAAATATAATTTAACACCAATCACAAAAATAGTCCCAGCAAGGGAACAATAAGGAAACAACATTATTCCGGCAAGGGAACCGATTATATAAGTAAATACGTCACGGCAAGGGAGTCAGCTATAAGCAAACTTATTTCAACATTTAACTTCACAAAGAAACCTCAACTACCACCAATACTCAACCATAAGCAACTTCCACGAGAATACTCATAATTCTTGCCCAACACAGAAAGTCAACAACTTAGGCATCGTAGTACTTATTAAGAACATAATGATTTCGATTTAATACTCACGGGCATGCTTGACACCAATGTATAGATACCCGTCACCATGCATATACGTCA